AAATTGGTAAGCTGAGGGGGGTCATGCGATTTTTAAATGGTGCTTCCCAAATCCCACCAGCCCCCCCTCCCTCATAAAAAATGAACGGTCCCTTAAATATCGCCTTGGAAAGGAAAGGAAAAAAAAGAAGAAGAAGAAGAAAAAAAAGAACTTATTACAATAAGGGGTATTCGTATTTGGTCACCCATCCAAGTACGAAACCCGCCGAACAGGAGCGGACGAGACGTTGAACGTAATTTTTTTAATTTCTAAGATGACAAAAGGAAACATAGAGAGAAAAAAAATCACTGATACTGGTTGGGAAAATATAGAACGAAAAAAATGAGAGGAATGAAAATGAGAATTTATTACTTGCTTTGGTAATCGGACAAGAAGCGGTACTTTCTCCATATTTGTCACGGTCTCTCGGACTGATAACTTCATGAATGTTTTCAACAGTGTTAAATCTCCTCGCGTATTCTCTTACGCTTGCGTTTTGTACTATTTCTTAACAATGCCAGTGGGCTTTAACTTAATCTACGGATTAAAACCTCAAGTCAGTGGCATCACAATTGTCACCGTTTACAGACGATCCATTTGCCAAGTTGAGTGGCTAATAGCCACTTTGATTGGAATTTTGATATAACATTGGTGGAATTAAAGATAATTGCCAGTACCTTCAGATTCAAGTAGAGCAATATGAGTAGCAGGGTGACGTTTTACTTTTCAACCAATCTTCAACGTCCTCAGTCCACCTTGGTTCTGGGAACAAGACTGGACATGTGCATAAGGAAATTTGAAGGGTATACCTGTTTCTATTTCTGTTCTCATTTGTTGACCTGCATGTTTCTCATATAGAACTTAAAATCAATAACTATTTGACAATACTCACCTCAAGTGTAGCAGTGATTTCATAAACTGTAGAATTAAACATGGCTCGTATATCCCCCAAGAATTGTTCAGGAAATCGACTTTTCCTTGTCCAAAAAAACCTGTCTGTGTTTTCAAGGTGTTGCGACATGCTTTTAAACTGCCAATACAACAAACAAACAAATTAAACTGTCTCTATCCATACTTCCCTGAAGCTGCTGCACATCATTCAAAGGCAAATAAACTCAAAAGTTTAAAATGAGGGGGGGGGGGGG